GCAGCAGCCCAGGTGTGGGCCCCACTGCCCAGGGTGGACCTTGGTCTCTGCCCTCCAGGGCCAATGAGGAAGCTGGAGCGGACCAGCGAGGCCCAGTCATGGTGGCTGGAGAGGCTGGCCAGGGCTGGTGGGAAAGGGCCAGCAGGAGGGGAGTGACGGAGTGGGGCAGGAAAAAAACCAAGAATGAGGAAACTGACCAGAGAGGGCCAGAGATCTGCCCAAGCCCCACGGGGGCCCCACAAACCTGGGCCTCCTGCTCTGGGCTTCCCGGAACACAGGAGGCCGGCCAGAGAGCAGCCACAAAGAAGGGACCTCCTCTGGCCATGTGCTATCACCCATCAGCACAGCCCCTGAGGCCCAGGAGGAACCACTATCTGTCTGGGGCAGTTATGGGGGCTGAGGAGAGGGGAAGCTGGCTCCACCCACGCCCGCCAGGGTGGGGCGCCCCTGGCTGCACCAAGGAGCCCAACCCCTGCCCCCTCATTTTATGAGGAGGAAACTGACGGCCAGGGGGCTAGGGACTGGCCCAGGGTCACTAGGCTCCTCGTAGCCGTTTCTCTTCCCTGACTGCACTGGCTTACACCATTTGTACTAGCGTCTTATGGCTGCTGTCACAAACTGCCACAAATCTGGTGTCTTAAAACAAGGCAGGTTTATTCTTACAGTTCTAGAGGCCAGAAGCCCCAAATCAGTTTCACTGGGCTGAAATCAAGGTGTCCCCAGGGCTGGTTCCTTCTGGAAGCGCCTGAGGAGGACGTTTCCTTGGCCCTCTGCATTCCTTAGTCTGTGGCCTCTTCCTCACATTCCTCCAGCCTCTGTCACCTTTCTTCTCTAGTCATATCTCCCTTTGCCTCCCTCTTAAAAGGATGCTTGTGACTCCATTTAGGGCCCACCTAGATAATCCGGGGAAAATCTCTCCATCTCAAAATGATTCATTTAATCACATCTATGAATTCTCTTTACCACGTAAGGTCACATTCCCAGGTTCCAGGGGTGAGGACCTGGATATATTTGGGGGCCATTATTTAGCCCACCACACCGTTCCCCCACTACAAGCCCTGTTCCCTATTAGACACTTCTTGGGGCCGGCCCGGTGGTGCAGCAGTTAAGTGCGCACATACCGCTTCAGTGGCCCGGGGTTTGCCGGTTCGGATCCCGGCTGTGGACATGGCACTGCTTGGCACGCCATAGGCGTCCCACATATAAAGTAGAGGAAGATGGGCACGGATGTTAGCTCAGGGCCAGTCCTCCTCAGGAAAAGAGGAGGATTGGCAGTAGTTAGCTCAGGGCTAATCTTTCTCACAAAAAAAAAAAAAAAAAACGATCACAGACTCTGGAGTCCTCAGGAGATCTGGGTTCAAATCTCGTCTCTGCCACTTAACTAGCTTTGACACCAGGGAATTCACTTAACCTTTCTGATGACTGTTTCCCCATCTGTAAAGTGGGAATATTTGTACCTACTTCACAGGGATGTTCTAAGGACTAAATGAGGTAATATATGTAAAGAGCTTAAAACAGTGCTTGTGGCCGAGTGGTTAAGTTCGCTCGCTCATCTGCAGGTGGCCCAGTGTTTCGTCGGTTTGAATCCTGGGCACGGACGTGGCACTGCTCATCGAGCCACGCTGAGGCAGTGTCCCACATGCCACAACTAGAAGGACCCACAACTAAAAACAGACAACTATGTACCAGGGGGCTTTGGGGAGAAAAAGGAAAAATAAAATCTTAAAAAACAAAAACGAAAAACAGTGCTTGCCACAAAATAGGCCCCTTCTAACTGTTAGATGTATATATATAGTTACTATACATAAAATATGAATTTTATATGTATGCAGTCTATGGAGGCTACATAAAAATAAACTAGAAGGCTATACTCCAAAAAATTGTTAAGTGGTTATACTTCCGGGTGGTGGGAGCGTGAATAACTGGTATCATCTTTTGCTTACCTGCGAGTTCTGTTTACATACAATAAATATTAATTATTTGCATAATCAAAGTGAAATTTTAAAATTGAACAATCTGACAGCAGAAAAAGGCAGACCAGAATCCTTGAAGCCCAGCGGTGGCTACCCTCCCCAGGGAGCCCTCCTGACTCCCAGGGAGGAAGCATCACTCCGTTCTCACGACTCTCTCCCGTCCCTGCTTCCTGGAGCTCTTGACCGTGAGCTCTGGGAGCCCGGCTGGGAACCGAGCAGGGAGCCTGTTCTGAGAACAGACAGCAGCCCCCCACCAGCTGCATACGACACCCTTCGCATGTCAGCTCGGCGCGTCGGCTCTGTGCAACCTTCCCAGCCCGGTCTGCATCAACCCCATGGAGGCTAACTGACCTCCAATGGCTTGCCCAAGGTCACAGCAGGCAGTGGCTGGGTTCCTACCTCAGGCCTTCTGCCACCATCAAGGCCACGGGGGACAAGCTGTGACTGGAGCCTGACCAAGATGGGGCAGGGGGTCCTGGCTTGGGGCCCTTTCCCCTGAGAGGCATGGCTTTTCCTACCTGCCCATCTTCAGACCCTTACAGGCTAAACCCTTTTTACAGATGGGCAAATACGGTCCCTGGATAAGAATGACTGCCCAGAGAAGATGCAATCCCGGAACTGGCCACAACGTGGCAGCACCAGGCCTTGTAACGCGTTCCTTCCTACAGGGCTTTGCATCCTCTACCGCCCTCTGGTAGTTGTGGGGAAACATGCCCAGGGCCCAGGCCAGGAACATTTGGGAAAACTGAGGCAGGGTTGTCATCTCTTGGGGAGGATCCTCGGTGAAAGAAGCAGGGCTTAGTTGGTGCCCCATTGTAGCCTTGGGCTGACTGGCCATTCTCCAGTCCCCATCACAGGGAATAGGTCTAGCTAGGACAGTCCTTGGACTTTTCATCAAGGTGACCATTGAGTAGAGGAGAGCAAGGATGGTGCAGGCGGGCTCCTCTCTGCCTGCAGCAGCCCCAGGGAAAAAACCCTAGTCAGAAGTCAGGCCCCTTTCCCCAGCATGGCTCAGCCACCAACCACATCCTCCTCTGTGAAACACGGAGACAGAAGAAAACATCCTTGAGTCTGTGAAAACAGGGAGGGGAGATGGCTGGGGGCTGGGGGCCTGGCCAGCACCCAGGGCTTCCTTGGTGGGACTGGGCCTCAAGGGGAAGCGGAGGTTGGGAGACACAATCACTGGGCTGAGCAGGGGGAGCAGAAAGGGCAGGGAGCACAGGGTGGGTTGCGGGTGGTGAGGTCCTTTCCTGGCCCTGGTGTCACGGACACAAGGTGGACACCTTGTCACAAGCCGGGCACATCAGATGCTCCCTTTGGGGAATTTGAGACTGAGACAAAGAGAGGCGAGTCAGCCTCCTTGTGCAGCTGGAAAGGTCCCAACTCACACAGGGTGGGCGGCAGGAAAAGACTGTCTGTGAAGAAAAGGAAATTGGGGTGTAGGCAGGGACGCGGGGAAGGCGGTCCCTCGGTGCCCCATGGCACTCCTGGCCTAGTTCCCGCCCTGAGGGGGGCTCTGGGGTCCACAGGCCACCCCCGGGCCCTGGAGCGAAGGCCCCTTAGGACTTATGGCCTGACCAATGAAGCAGGAACAGCATTCTGGACACAGTGGTGGCTCTGGGGACCCTGACACCTGTGGGCCCCCCCGGAGGCAGCCTCCAAGGCTCCTCAAGCCACAGACTGGCATGGCCTCAGGCCTCGGCTTCTCTCCCTCCCACAGCTCCTCATGCTCAACACCCCCAGGGGGACAGGAAGGGGGACCCCCCCCCACCCAGTGCTCCGCGACAGACACGGGCCTGGCCAGCAGAGCGCTCTGCAGCCCCGAAGAACGAGCCAGCGCAACATGCACTGACAAGGACAGAAGTCCACGACGGGAACGAGAATAGCAGGTGGCCAGCCAGCCCTGCAGGAGAAACTGAGGTCCCTGCCTCCAAAAGTCACGTGGTCATGCTGTCTGCCTCCCAAGTGCTCGTCACACTTCCACCTTACTTGAATGTTTGCTATTACAAGGAACACGAACTGTTTTTATGTTTAAAAATAAAATAAAATTTTAAAACTCTCCCAAGAGGGTCTGGGGTGTTGCCTGGTCACCTTCCCAATAGGGAGGGCCCGGGATAGAGCTGGGCTCACTGCAGGCCACCGTGCCCCTCATCTGCTGAAACCAGGGGAACGGTGACCCCCGACCCCAGGTGCTCTGCTCACAAGGGCGCTCCACCCACAGCGCCCCCTTGCTCCCAGAGCCGGCTCTCCCTATAGAACCCTGTCCCCGTGTCCACCCTCTGTGAAGTCCCAGGCCTGGGACTGAAGCCCAGGGGTGGCCACCTGCTGCCAGAGGGGCCTTGGAAGGTGCTGTGCTCTCTGAACCTGAGTCTCCAGTCTGTAGGGCAGGACTGGAACTCTGGTCCCCGCTGAGCCAGTATCCTTCCATGCACTTGACCTGCATCTTTTTTTTTTTTGAGGAAGATTAGCCCTGAGCTAACATCCGCTGCCAATCCTCCTTTTGCTGAGGAAGATTGGCCCTGAGCTAACATCCGTGCCCATCTTCCTCTACTTTAGACGTGGAATGCCTGCCAAGCATGGCTTTTGCCAAGTGGTGCCATGTCTGCACCTGGCATCCAAACCAGTGAACCCCGGGACGCCAAAGCAGAACGTGCACACTTAACCACTGCGCCACTGGGCTGGCCCCTGACCTGCATCTTGTCATCGAACTCCCACGACTTCTCCTCGAGGTGGGGACTATCGTTATGCCCATTTGACAGATAAGGAAACCAGGGCTCAGAGAGGGGCGTCACCACCCAGAGTCCCACAGCCAGTGAGGGGCAGAAGTGGACACGCGCCCTGGGCCGTCTCTGAGCCTCCCTGCTGAGCATCCCATGGTGGTGTCCCAGGGATTATGTGACACAAGCCTGCTCAGCCTGTCACCCCGACAGTAAGCACAGAATAGACTGTATTCACCCCAGGGCTGGCCGTGCCTCATTCCAAAGCCTTGCCTGACCGGCAGCCACACGCAGCACCACACCACAGACCTCCCTTTCACAGCACCCCCGAGGGGGGCCACAAACCGTTTCTTTATTGCAAACATGACACATAGTCCCAGGGGCGCCTGGGAAGAGCAGGAACCAGGGGAAGCCAGGGATGAGCCCTCCCTAAACTGACTGTCCCTACTTCCCTTGTCCAGGGCAGGAGCCTGGTCCAAATGCCACCTGCAGGGGGTAGACAGGGCAGCCACGGAGGGCCCTGGAAAACGGCTGAAGAGTAGGGAAGCCAGGGCAGGGGGTCAGGTGGGTGGCCCTCCGGGCCTCAGGGGGAGTGTGAACGGAAATTCTGGGCTTTGTCCCCAACGTCCCAGCGCCCCAGCAGGCGTCCAGTGTTAGAAGGGAGAGGGCTGGGGGTCGACAAGGGGCAGAAAGAGCCTGTTGCCACTACACAGCATTGCCAGGCAGCCAGCATCTTCCGTTGCCTCTCGTCCTGGGACGCTCAGCTCAGTGCGGGGCCTCAGCGATGGCCTTCTCCACCCGCAGGTACCAGGGCTGGATGTGGGTGTGGCGCATGAGGTCGTCGAAGGCCTCCAGGCCCTCCATCACACGCAGCACGCCATACACAGCCTGCAGGGGTGACAGCACTGTCACTGTGGCATGGCCCAGAGCGGGCGTCTAGACCTGCCCCATCTTCTGCCAGCTGGGTGTCCTGCGGCCATCACCTCCCCACTCTGAGAGCTCCGGGACCCACTGAAGGGCCAGTTTGCAAACAGGTTTGCAGGTTTCACCTTCCTGGCTCCCACACCCCCTTTCTGTGCAATAACCCACCCAGGGTTTCTCCACGCTCAGGTACTGAGATGTGGGGAGAAGAGAACCCACTACCCAGCTCCAAGACCCAGACCTGGCAATCCACAAATTCCATCCTGGCTGTAGGACTGCTTCAAGGATTGGCACTGAAGCTAGGCCAGTGAGACACTGTCCCAACACTGCTGCTGGATGGAACGCTGGAGCACTGACCCAGGCCTGCCTCAGGCTGAAGCCAACTCCAAGGAGATGCTCAAGGAGAGTTTGAGCCCTGGTAACACCAGTCAGGCCCCTGGATCCAGCCGGGCCTGAAGCCGACCCCTCCCCTGAACATGTCATTTATGTGAACCAAGACAGTTCCTTATAGTTGGTTTTCCTTAAGGCCCTGACAACAGATGGAGCCAGGTGCCCCTGGGGATGGGGGAGCTAGGAAATATAGGTATTACCCACATGTGGGCATTCTCTTCCTAGGCCCCACTGACCCCACGGAGAAGGCCCTCAGTCTGGGCACCACCCCCCCGTCACTACCACACTCACCAGATCAGCCAGGTTCGGCTTTTGGCCCCCCATGAAGGGCCGGTCTTTGCCCACGGCTGCCACCCACTTGTTGGCGGCCTCATAGAGGTCCACACGCACATCGTCCTGGAGGTGGTGCCTAGGCAGGGATGGGGGAAGTCCATCAGGGGAACTCTGACCCCCGGCCCAAGTGGGGAGAGCGGGAAGGTCTGAGGGCCCTTGGTGGGGGTATCACATCTACAGAGACCTCAGTTACCATCAGCCCCAGACGGGGAAGCCATGGCCCAGGGATGATAAGAGAGAGAAACAGTGGAAGGCACCAGGCAGGACCCAGCTCTGGACCCCAAGGCCAGCCTTGCTTCCCCTGGGGTGGGGAAGGTGATCAGGAGTTCTGGGTTCAAGTCCTGATGTGGCTAATGACGGGGACTTGGGGACAGCAGGCCCCCAGGCGCGAGCGCACGCACACACACACACACACACGTGCCATCACCTGCTCTTGAGCCGCTTGCTGATGAGGTACATGGCAGCTGCACCCATGTACTTGGCCACAGCACCCTCCACGACCCCGAACTTGCCCTCCCTGACAATGTAGTCGAAGGAGGCCAGGGCCTCGGCAGGCGTGCGGTACACGTTGGGGGAGATCAGGTGGACCAGCCAGTCGTCCGCCCACTGCCGCCACTTCATCTCCTCCCTGTGGGGGACAGCGGGCGGGCTGAGTGGGCTCCTGAGCCAGGCTCTGGGAGGTGCTGGGAGCTGACACACTGTCTAGACCGCCCAGCGTCTGGACGGGAGGCCGAGGCCTGAGCATCAGGTCCCTACGGAGGCTCAGCCCAGCCCTCGTGGTTGCCCACGCTGCTCCCCCCTCACAGCTTCCTGCTCAGCCTGGTCCCCTGAGGGGAAGACCCCGCCCTCTCCACCGCCCCGGGCCAGCCCCAGCCCCACTCACGTCCTCGCCTCCTTCCCACTGTACATTCGCTGGGCCTCCTTCTCGTCCAGCATGAGCCAGTACTTGTTGCAGAACTCGGTCACCTCCTTGCCCTGGTCGTTCATGGCCTTCATGGGCGGATAGTAGGTGATGATGTCTTCCAGGGGCTGCCTTTGGGAGACATCCAGAGTCTCAGCCAACTCCTTCCTCCTCCGGGGGACTGAGCCCTCACCTCCTTAGGGGCAATAACCAACCCAGCCCGACCCACAGAAGCTTTCCACCCTCTTGCGCGTGACACAGCAGGTCCTGCAGCAAGAGAGACTTGGGGCAGACACCAGGAGCACTGCCCTGACAAATGGAGAGTGCGGAGGAGAGGCAGGGGGAGTCTCAGAGTAGGACGCCCATGGTCCATTCTAGAAATCTAAGCAGCAGCCCCATCCTGCTCCCATGGAGGAACTCAGGGGAGGCCCCCCGTGGAGGCAGGAGAAGGGACAAATGCGATGCCCGCCTGGGCCTCCGGGGGGGAGGGGGCTCTTACCCCGACACCAGGTGGGTCTTGAGGGCGCTGATGATGACAGAGGAGTCATTCAGTTGTTGCTGGAGAAGAAGATGGTTTAGGTCAGGGCAGCTGCCTGGCGGCCGGCAGGATCCCCAGGGGCTCTGAACAACACCGACACCCCGGCATCGGCGGGCACTAGGCAGGGGGAACCCGGGCACTGTTCATCCAGCCCTGGGGGCTCCCCCAAAACCGAGGCCCTCCTCCTAACCCAGTCCCTGCCCTCGGGACGGCCCATCACAAGGGAGCAAGTGCAGCTCATGGGGAGGAGGCGTGGGGAGGACCCAGGGGCTGGGCCCTGGCCCACTCACCCGCCTGGCCTCCCGGGCACCGAGGGGCAGGATGGACTTCAGATCTACGTAACAGGTGCCAAGCACTGTGCCAGGCATATCTGCTGTGCCTACAACCAGGAGAGTACGGTCCTCGATTAATGAGGAAGGAAGCCCAGAGAGGCTAAATAACTGGCCCCAAGTCACACAGCCAGTGAGTAGCAGAGCCACACCTCGAACCAAGGGCACCCCGATTTCAGAAGCCAGCTTGTTAAGCTCGGTGCTCTGCCTCCCTTAGACCTGGCTGGGTTTGGTGTTGGTGGAGGAAGAGAGCCTACATTGCCTGAGCATCTATTGTAAACCAGCCACTTTCCCCTCGTTCCCAGCTGACACCCAGGGAGCCCAAGCTCCTTCCAAGGCTGCAGAGCAAGGCCCCACTTGGGAGTTTCCCAAGACAATCCCGGACCTGCGGGGGCTCCCCGAGGCTCACCAAGCTGTCTCCTTCCTGGGCCAACAGGATGGGCACCTTCCTGTAGGAGGAGAACTTGATCTCGGCCTTGCGCACGGGGTTTACCTCCACCACCCGGTAGGGCAGGGCGTGGAAGTCGAGGAAGGCGCGGACCTTGCTGCAGAAGGGACACGTTTTGTACTGGTACAGGGTCAGCTGCAGGTGGCCGGTCAGGGAGAGCTGGGTGGGGAGCAGAGAAAAGGGGGCTTCTGAGGCCTGGCACCCAGATCTGCCCCCAGACCCAGGCCCTGCCCCCAAGCAGACATGTCTCAGTTGGGGAGGGGAGTCTTCTAGGATGACCCTGAGAACATCGGGAGGAATGGGGGTGGGTGGCAGGGAGAAGGGGAGACACAGGGAGGTGGGGAGTGGGCCCATGCAGTGGACAGACAGCCCAGGCTCAAGCACCCATGCGGCACGCTCCCCAGAGGGGTCTGAGTAGGAGGAATTTTCTGGGCTCTGTCCAACACTGGACAGACACCTCTCCTCTCCCTCCTGTCCCAAGGGAACACCAGGCACCAACAGGTGTGCGCCCGGAGATGCAGAATAATTGTTTCAACTTGGGAGTGCCCACCCTCTCTCCCCCAACCCCAGGGACCTCTGGGGGAGGAGGCAGAGCCAGCTTTGCCAGAGTGGGGTCTACCTCAAACCTCCAGAAGGGAGGGTTGTACCAGTGCCTCCCGTCTCCCCCTGGATGCCACACCTTCCTCAGGAAAGGCCCAGGTGAGCTTGCACCCTATTCACATAGGAAAGTGGCACCTGCAGCCCACCTCCCTCCATGTTGGGGGGGTGGGTAGCAGGAAGATACAGAGGATGCCACTCCCCTTCCACCCACCCTGGTCCCCTGCGGCCAGGAAAGGGACTGCAGGGGTAGGGGGGAGGGCGGGAGCAGAGAAAGACGGTATTGGTGCTGTGTATAAAGCATTTCAAGGGCAGCTGGGCCACCATCGGCTGGAGGGTGACCTCCCTGTCCCTCCCTGTCTCCGCCCCTGGAGTCTATGGGTCATCGGTCCCATAAAAATACTAATAACAACCCTAATAAGTAAATTCCCGACCTTAGGATTTGGGGACGGTGGGAGGAGAACAACAAAATGGAAAGTGATAAACTGTGAAAGAGGCTTGCTTTCTCTTTTCTATGACCTTTAAATCTTTCCATTAAAACACTTAGAAAAACGATTTTAAGGCAAAGACAACAATTCGAGTTAGCAGACATCAGCAGCGCCCCCATTTCACAGATGAGGTCGGAGACTTAACACTGAGTCACGTGCTCAAGGTCACAGCGGACGGAGGAGGCATTCCTGACCCCGCCGGTTTCTAGAAGTCCCGAAGTGCGGCGCAGACCCCAGCGCTCCGACCCGCACTCGGCCCGGCCCGGGCTCACCTGCACGGCCGAGCGCTCGGCGCGGAGGTCCTGGGCGCGCAGGTGCCACCGCGCCGTGTGGTACAGCCCCAGGGCGCCCCCCAGGGCCAGCGCCGCCGCCCCTAGGAGCCGCGAGCTCCCCTTGCGGGCGGTGGCGGCGGGCCCTCCCGCCGTCCCCGCGAAGCCGGCCCGGCCCTGCACGGGAAGTCGGGGCGGGGGGCGATGGGCCAGCCCCCAGGCTAGAGCGCGCCCGCAGGGCCACAGCGCCCGCGCAGCCTGGGCCATGTTTGTTCACCGGCGCCGCGGGCGGGCGCGCGAAACGAAGACGGCCTGAGCTCGGGCTCCTTTTAAAGGACCCGGGGGGGGGGAGGGGGGCGGTGGTCTCCGGGTTGCCAGGGGCGACCGTGACGCCGAGCGGGGAGGACAGCGCTCCCGGGACTGGGCGTGCGTGCCCGGCGCCCAGCTTCCACACACCGGTCAGAGCCACAGAAACACATCGGGGATGCCTGGGAGTCGCTAAGTGCCCCGGCTTCTGAACATGTAGATATACTGGGTCTCGGTGGTGACCCGGGCCGAACGCAGGGAACTCGGCCAATAACTTGCCATGTGGCCTCTAAGCCTCAGCGTGGTCCGTAATAGATGGCTACTAATTTCTAACCAGTCGAAACAGACAGAACCCTTGAGAGTGTCAGGGAAAGGGTCACGGCTTCGGGCCCATGAGTGTCGTGGAAACGGGCCGACCCGCCCCACTAGTGGCCGGGCGTCGGCCACTCGGGCTCTTTCTGCCCTCCCGCACCGCTGCGCCGTTTCTTCGGTGGCCCGAACCATAAAAGTTTCCCTACACACAGGGGGCCTTAGAAACCACGTGTCTCAGATCTCGTCCACGCTTAGGCGCCGGTTCGCGGACCCGCAGGTCCCCAGATGCAGGATGAGGCCGGGGTGGCGGGGGGGCCGGTCCCAGGCTGCTGCTGCCCCACGCCCGGCCCGCTAGCCCTAGCTGAGGACCGGAGCCTCAACTATCTAGGCGTCTCCGCGGGCAGCCCCGGGATGGCCCCGCCCCGCTGGGCGTGGGGCGGTGCACGGGGAGGGGCGGAGATCTGAAGGCGGGACAGGTTGTGGGCGGGGCGGGGCGGAGTCTGAGGCGGGGCGGGGACAGCGCTGCTCGCGCGGGGAGGTGCGAAAGCGGGGCTTAGTCGGGGGCGGAGGCTGGCTGCGGGCGGGGGCGGGGTTTCTCGGTGGGGGCGGAGTCTGGCGGCGGGCGGGGGCGGGATTATGGGTGGGGGCGGAATCTGGCTGCGGCGGGGGGCGGGGCTCTTGCGGTGGGGCGGGATGGGCGGAGCTCTGGGCCCCCCGGCTCCTGCGTTACGCTCGGGCCCCGCTGTCAGCCGCACCCTTCCACCCTTTCCGCGCGGTGTTCCCTCCTCCGCCTGCACCTTCCGCCCGGCGCCGGCTCTCCGCCCGGTGCTGTTCCATCGTCCGCGGCCCTTGCGGCGCCCGAGCCCGCAATGTGGGGCCCCAACCGGGACCTGGGCGTGTCGGTGGAGGCGGGCGCGGAAGGCGAGGACGACGGCTTCGGGGAGGCAGGTGACCCGGAGGGGCTGCTGGAAGCGACCTTTGCTTTCCGGGGGTTCCCTGTTGGAAAGGGGGATCGGGGCCGGGATGGGGGCGTGAAAGAGACCTCGGAGCCTCCCCCACTCTTGGGTGGGTCGCGAGCTGCAGGTGCCGTCTCGGGGTTCAGGGCGAGCATTTGAGAGCGGGTCCCCAGAAACGGCAGCGTTCGAGAACTATGGGAGCTGGCCTCGTTTTGCAGACGGGGAAACTGAGGCCGCTTCAGGGACACTCGCCCTGTTGGGATTTGCCCCAGCCACTTCCTTCAGCCCCTGAGGAGACGAAGGCTCCTGAGGGGGCGGGGCCTGTGGACCGCCTTGGCTCAGCAGCAGGGGCTGTCTGGGTGGGCGCGCCTGCCCTGCTGAGTCAGCATCCCCGGCCCCCTTTGCTGGTGGAGGCTTGGCGACGGTGACTTGCTTACAAAGCAGCCTGTTGCCTGCACAGCACGGCGGGGGGGGGGGGGGGGGCGCGTCGAGGGGATGGGTATTGAGAGAGAACCGTAAGCTTCCTTTTCACCTTATGAAGCCGGTTTCCCGATCCGTAAAATGGGAATAAGGATTAGTGTCTCCTATTGAGATGTGTCGGGATTAAATGGGAAAACGAATGGAAGAGGCTGGAGGCTGGAGAGGCCTGTTCCTTAGAGATCCCTATTTTTTTGCCCACCTGGCGGCTGCTCCACCCAAGCATGGGGTGATTCAGCCTTTGGCAAATATAGCAAGGAAACCCTATGACTAGCCCCTCCACCAAAATATTTGCCTCAGTCTCCCTTTGTCCTCCTGGCCAAAATTGGCAGGACATCAGGGCAGGCCCACACCTCCTGGCTTGCCATCCAGTGCTCCCGCCCTTGGTCCTACACCGCTTCTCCCTTACTTCACTCCAGCCAGGGGCCTCCTATCTGTGGCCAGCATTGACGGCAGCACTGCTTAATGCCCAGGGGACCACAGGGCTGTGGCTGAGCTGGGCAGAGCCCTAGGCCCAAATTGGAGCAAAGCCCAGAGATGGCTGTGCTCTTCCCAGTTGTGAGACATCTGGGGTAAGTGGCTGAGACCCAGGGTTCCCGTATAGGGAAGAGGATGGAGCCTCTGTCCAGGCATAGCCCAGATCCTGCCAGCCCATGAGCCCTGTTCCAGACTATAACTTCTATGACCTCCCTTTGGTATCTGACCCTGGTGGCCTCTCTCCTCCTGGACACATGCCCTTCTGTGGCTCCATGACACCACCTCTCTTTGTTTTCCTTCGGGCTCTCTGGACACGTTTCCCTGGAAACCAAGGAAAGTCTGAGAAACTGTCACAGTTTCTCAATAGGAGCCTGAAGAGACATGACAACTGGATGGGATCCTGGGACAGAAAAGGGACATTATGTGAAAACTAAGGAAATCGGCGTCATTTATGGACTTTAGTTAATAATAATGTATCAGGGGCCGGCCCCATGGCCAAGTGGTTAGCTTCACGTGCTCTGCTTCAGCATCCCAGGGTTTCGCTGGTTTGGATCCTGGGCATGGACATGGCACCACTCGTCAGGCCATGCTGAGGTGGCGTCCCACATGCCACAACTAGAAGGATCCACAACTAAAAATACACAGCTATGTCCTGGGGGGCTTTGGGGAGAAAAAGGAAGAAATAAAACCTTAAAAAAATAAAAATAAATAAATAAAAAATAATAATGTATCAATAGTGTTTCATTAATGTAACAAACGTACCATACTAATGTAGGATGTTAATAATAGAAGAAACTTGGGTGCAGGGCATATGGGGACTCTGTATAGTATTTTCACAATATTTCTGTAAATCTAAAACTATTTTAAAATTAAAAGTTTATTTTTTAAAAGCTTGTCAAATTGTGCAGGTTGAATGTGTGCAGTTTATTGCATTGTCTGGTGTTCTCTTTGTAGGGAAATTTGTCCCTAACTGATTTAATTTCTGTGATCGTTATAGGGCAACTCAGACTTCCTTTTTCTTCTTGAATCCATTTTGGTAAGTTACAATTTGCTGGAAATTTCCATTTGATTACTTATAGCATTCTCTTATCCTTTTAATGTCCATGGAATCTATAGATATATCTTTGTTTGTTTGTTTGGTGAGGAAGATTGACCCTGAGCTAATATCCATTGCCAATCTTCCTCTGTTTTTTTTCCTCCCCAAAGCCCCAGTACGTAGTTGTGTATCCTCGTTGTAAGTCCTTCTGGTTCTTCTATGTGGGATTACATTGCAGCGTGGCTTGATGAGCAGTGGGTAGGCCCACACCCAAGATCCGAACTGGCGAACCCCAAGCCACCAAAGCAGAGCACGCACACAACCACTCGGCCATGGGGCCGGCCTCTATAGATATATCTCTTTTTTATTTCTACTTCTTCTGTTATTTGTGCCTTATATCTTTCTGTCTTGAGAAATTTTTCCAAATTTCTATCTATGTTATTAGTCTTTTCTAAGAGTCAACATTATTTTTTCTTTTTTCAGGAAAAGATTTGCCCTGAGCTAACATCTGTTGCCAATCGTCCTCTTTTTTTCCCTTTTCTCCTCCCCAAAGCCGCAGTGTATGGTTGTATATCCTAGTTGTAAGCTCTAGTTCTTCAATGTGAGCCACCCCTACAGCATGGCAACTGACAGGTGAGTGGTGTGGTTCCACAACCAGGAAACAAGCCTGGGCTGCCAAAGCAGTGAGAGCGCCAAACTTCAACCACTAGGCCATCAGGGCCGGCTCCCGAGTCAACTTTTGGCTTTGATGTTCCTATGGTAGCTTTCTATTTCATTAATTTCTGCATTTAACTTCATTTTCTCCTTCCATTTTCTTTGGGGTTTTTGTGTAGTTTCCTTTCTAAATTCTTGCTTTGGACACTTCTTCGTGACTTTGCAGCCCTTCTCACTCTGAACTCATACTTAAGGCTATGTGAGCCTCTTGTGTCTTGTGAGCCCGGCAGGGCAGTTGAGTCAGTTTCATGCTAGATCAGTGGTCTGGTGGATGAGGGGGCCCTTCAGGGTGCCCAGATTGCTGTACAGCCAGGACTTCTTTCGTACGGATCCTCTCCAAGGTCCACTGGGCCCCCAGGAAGACCAGGCCCCCCTGCCTGCCCGTGCAGAGTGGCAGCCTCCTGGGCAGCCTACCCCTCTGCTGTCCAGCAGGGGCTGATGCAACCCATCTCTTGCCTTTTGGCTTTTTGTGGCAATAGTCTGACTCCAGTCCACAAGCTCCAAGGTCAGAAGTCAGCTCCCCACCTTCCCCAGGGATTCTCTAAAATGGCCACTGGCGGGGAGGTGGGCAAAGCAGCTCCCTCCCTCCGCTGCTCCTCGTGGGTATAATTAATAGAAGGAGAGGCTTGTGGTTGGGGGGGTAAGGACCCTGCAGTCCATGACTACCAGGCAAAGGGACAATAGTCACAAAGGGACTTGAGTCTGGGGTCCTCCGGGATATACCAGGTCTGGGGGACCTCCTGTTTCCCACCACTCCTAATACAGCACACACTCAGAGGGAGCACTTGGGAGCCTGTATGAGCCCTTAGCCACACAGGTGACAGGAAGAGGAGGAGACAGTGGCAAAAGGACAAGGCTCCCACACTCCAGCCTCAGCACCCACCGGGGCACCCAGGACCCCTGCCTGGGACAGCTGAGCCCTGAAGGTCCTCAGCCCAGGATGCTAGGGGCTCTCTGAGCAGCCTGGCCGCAGCTGCCTGCACAGGCTGGCCCACTCAGGGCCCA